AGAGAGGAGTGAACACTATCTCAGAGAGGAGTGAACACTATCTCAGAGAGGAGTGAACACTATCTCAGAAAGGAGTGAGGCGCATCTCTGCTGCTCTGTGGCCTATTCTTACCCTTTGACTTTCCAGTGGCTCATCACCACCGTTTGGCAGCTCACAAATCTCTCCTTTCAAGTCAGAAAAGATGGATAAGAGAAATTTTCAACATAAAATCCAAAGTTGTTCTTTCAGTACTTAAAAGGCAGTATGAAAAAACTATTAACTATTTCAGTTGGAAAGATGTGGGTTGTGCTACCAGAAGAGGCTTTTGTTGTGGTAGAGTGTTGTTTTAATTTGGCAAACACACTTCCCTAGTGGTTGCGTTGATGTTGTTGCAGGTTGGTGGAGTCCAGATTCAGACTGGCTCTGATTGTGAGCCTCTGCTGTTGCACATTCTTCATCTCGAAATGAGTGGTGAAGGCTCAGAGTGTGAGCAGTTGGTGGAGTCGCCACACGTCTTTCCAGCTAACGCAGAAGTGGGCACTGTGTTCACAGCCTTGGCCGTTCCTGTAGGCGTCCTCCTTACAAACAGTGTGGAGTCTGCAGAGGAAGAGGGTTGGACTGCTATTCCCAAGGAGGACATGAAGAAGACATTCAGAGAACAAGGTCTCAGAAATGGAAGCTTAATTTTGGTTCAGGATGCAGACAGTGATGATAACAGGTAACTCACTGAAAAGAGAAAGGGGAGAACTTTCTTTTTATTTATTCTGTGTGTCTTTTACATCATGTATCTTTCATTTCCCCATCCCTTTGCATCTGCCTCCACTTCTGTAACCCGCCCCCCCAATAAAACAAAATTTAAGAGAAAAAAGGTAAAAAATTAAAAATCTCATCATGGAAGCTGCAGTGTGGTACAGTGAATCACAGCGTGAACCCCTTTGTCCACATATCTTTACTTGCAAGTGTTCCTCGCAAAGAATCATTGGTCTGGCTCGAGGGCTCCGGTTTCTATTACACTGTCAGTGCTGGGTCCTCACTGGGACTCTTCTTGGATATCCTGTTGTTGCCCTGTGTTGTGGAGATCCTGCAGCTTTGGGCCTGCAGGTCAGGTTCCTTTATGTTCTCCAGCAGATCATAGATGGGGTAGATGTGGGGGCAGGCTAAGTCATAACCCTGATTCTAGGCCTAGGCAGCTTCAGGGTTGGTCCTCCCACCAGGGAGAGAACTTTCAAAGTAATCCTAATTACAGCACTACCCAGTAGAACTCAGGAGATTTACTTTAGTGGTAATAACGAAATGTTCCTTTATTTCTAGCCATTGTTCCAAATACTGTCTTTTGTTTATTTTCAAAAAATGATGTGTGTATGTGTGCATGGCATGCATGCATAGGTGTGTGTGCATGGCATGCATGCATAGGTGTGTGTGCATGGCATGCATGCATAGGTGTGTGTGCATGGCATGCATGCATAGGCGCCTATATAAGTCAGGACAACTCTGGCATTGGTCTCTCATTCCACCTCTTATGTAGGTTACAGGGACCAAACTCAGGTCTTCAGGCTTGTGTCACTGGTACCTTTATCCATTCCTGCTGCACCATCCCCTGTTGATCTCTTCTGAGATCAGAGCTCGTGTCATCCAGACTGGCCTCAAACTCTTTTTTTATCTGAGGCTAGCCTTTAACTCCTGGTCCACCTGTCTACATCCCAGGTGCTGGCTGCGTCAGGTCTAGCTCCTCAATACTGTATTGAATACTTGAGTTGTAAAACTTTATATATATAATATAATATAATATAATATATATAATATCTATTATATATATAAAACTGTTTTAGAGATGTCCCTGCGTAGTAGATATGGTCTCAATTAGTTGTCTATAAGACAAAATCCTGCCAGGTGAATTCTGATTGAGTTATAAAACTAAAAGCCCATTCTCATAAGGAAAAAGAGATTCGTGGGACAATTCAGACTTTCCTTGTGGTCTTCTCCATGACTTCTGGGAGCCGCCTACCCTTCCCAAAGGGACAGTTGCCTGGGGAAATGCCCCTGAATCCTGTAGCCATGTCTGAGACGCTGAAGCACTGCACCTGATGCTCCCATGTCTGTGTCGGTGCATTTTTATAGTCGGTGGGAGCTGCTGAGCAGCAGAGCCTGTGGCTTTTGTGATCCATTTTATGTTACCTCTCAGGAAAGGGGTTCCACTTCTCTGCCTCACTTATAGGAGAGTGAATCATGTGCTCTTTATAAAAGACAGACTTCATTTAGTAGGCCTCGGGAGATAAAGCAAGAACATCGGAGATCCTGACCCTCTGTTGATCATGCAGTTTTGCTCACTGTCTGGTGGCTTTGCTTTTCTTCTAACCTGAAATCATTGTTGGGAGGTTTTTCTCTTTTTAAGCATACTAATGATTATCTTTTTGATAAATAGCTGTGTCTTGCTTGCTCTCCCCACCCATGTTTGTAGATTCTGTAAGCTTCCTCCTAATGGATGTGGGCATCATCATTTGCCCAACTGTTCCTGAGTGAGGTGGTATGACCCAGTCATAAGGACAAGTACTCAGCCAGCTGCCTGGATTATTTCCCACTTTAATGTGTGACCAACAGTGTGAGCTTAGACAAGTTAATCTCACCTCTCTGCTCAGTTTCTTCCTTAAGATGACGTGATTACTAGTACCTGCTTAGAGTGTAAGGACTGAAGAGTTAAGTGGTCACACATAGCAAGTGCTAAGTGGAGTGACATCTTTGCCATCCTCCTCCTCCTCCTCCAGTTGTCCACTACTGTGAGATATTCTTCAGAAAACATCTTCTCCTAAAACTCTGTTTTATCTTCTGAGGTAGGGTATCAGAATGCGATAACTGCAATAATGCGTAGAATGTGTTGGGGGTGATAAGGTACCATGGCCAAGGCAACTTATAAAAGAAAGTGCTTAATTTGAGGTTCATGGTTCCAGAGAGTTAGAGTCCATGACCAGCATGGCAGGCAGGCAGGCAGGCAGGCATGACCCTGGAGCAGCAGCTGACAGCTTACAATCTTATCCACAAGGAGGCAGAGAGAAAGACTGAGACTGGGAACTATGTGGGCTTTTACAATCTCAAACCTGTCCCCAGTGATGCACTTCCTCTAACAAGGCCAAACTCCCTAATCCTCCCCAAACATTTCCACCTGTAGGGGCCATTCTCATTCAAACCACTACATTCCCCAAAAGGCCTTCTGCTAGCCCATATTTTTCTTCTGTCCATAAGAAGGTTTTGTTAGGCTAAGATACTTTACTGCAAGTTGCTAAAAAAACAAACATAACATAAAAAACAAAACTCACTGGGCAGTGGTGGCACATGCCTTTAATCCCAGTGCTTGGGAGGCAGAAGCAGGCAGAGCTCCAAGTTCGAAGACAGCCAGGGCTACTCAGAGAAACTCTGTCTAAAACAAAACAACTCTTCAGTGAAATACCAGTTATATGATGTATATGACTACATAAGTATGACACTTTTATTGCACTGTAGATCTGCACATGTGTACACAGCTGCCCTGCTGTTAAATTCAGATCCCAATGGGTAGGCTTTAATAATCTTCTAAAGCCACCTTAGTGATTCCTGTGCAGGCAGACAGCAGTTGGCCATTCCTTTTTAGACGTGTCCCTTGAAGCCAGGTGTAGTACTACATGTAGTAGTACATGTCTGTCATCCCAGCACTTGAGAGTTTTAGGCCAGTCTTGGCTACATGGTGAGTTGAAGGTCAGCCTGGGCTGCATAAGACCTTATCCCAAAAAAAATAAAAAATCCCCTTGAAAACAAGCACCAATTATTTAAATGGGGATTACCCTAAAAAGGTAGCTGGTATTGTGCAGTGAGTCAGTAGAGTGTGGCCCCTTTTCTTTAGTCACTTTAAGAGATACATGCCTGGTTTAGAAAAGTGATGCCCAAGGAAAGTGGAAGGACTCATTCTTTCAATGTCCTTCTTTACTTACAGTCTGTTGCCCAGACAAGGGAGATGGACCTCCAGTGTGGATGAGCTGAACTGGCTCCAAGTGAAAAACTTGTGCCAGTTAGAATCTGAAGAGGAGCAGGTTCAGATAGCCGCGACCGTGCACACAGTGAGTAGATGGCCATTAGCCTGGCCGGCAGTGTCTGGCAACAGAATTTATATTTACAAAACAGAGTCAGTCTTTCAGAACAGCGGTGTCAATAGACATCTGAAGTCTTACTGCCTTTATTACTGCTTATTTACTTACATCAACCAGTGGCCTGTTTCAAAGCAGTCTGTACTCTTACACTCCTAACCCTAGAAGCCTACCCTGGAATGTGGGACTCATTGGTGGCTCATGGAGTCCTCTGGATTTTATAAACACGAAGATCTGTTGTCAAGGATCTTCTCTGCATTGTTTAAAGTGCACATATGCATGTGCAAATGTATATTTGTTATTTTGGTTTTTGTGTTGCCAAGTTTTTGCTTTTATCCTAAATTACTCTTTCTATATATATACTGTGTCCTACCAACTGCCCCTAGAAGGAATTCCTCCAGCTCCATTTGAAGACTATAATTCTAATTTTCTTAAAAATCTCAGGTAATTTTTTTTCTTTTTGTATGTGTGTGATTTGGGGGGCGGTGTTTGGGTTTTTGAGACAGAGTCGCGCTATGTAGTTCTAGCTGTCCTGGAACTTCCTATATAGACCAGGTTGTCCTTAAACTCGCAGAGATCTACCTGCCTCTGTCTCCTAAGTGCTGATATTAAAGCCATGTGTTGCCATACCTGGTTAGGAGACATCTTTTTATATTTTCTTGTTACTAGCTCATTAAATGATTTTTTTCTATAGCAAATTAAACTAAGTTGTTGTTTTCTTTTATACCATTTTATAATTTCTTTAAATTTTTTCCTTTGCATTGTTTATTTGTGGGAACAGGCGTGCATGTGGAGGTCAGAGAACAGCCTAGAAGTTGGTTCTATCTCTCCACTATGCAGGTTTCAAGGATCAAAATCAGGTCATTAGGCTTGGCAGCATAAACTGTCTCCCTGGAGCCATCTTTTCGATCCTTGACGTTACAATTTCTTAAGGAGCATTATAGTCGTTGGTTGTCTTAGAAGAACAGTAGGACCAGTGCACACTAGTACCTGATCCTAAGTGGAAAGTGCTGGGGATGCCCTTTGTCACTTGAGTCTGCTGCTGCTCGGCACCATGTGGGTTCTGGTGGAGGACCAGGTGTATGCTTTCTGACATCACTTTCACCTCTCAGTTCTACCAGCATTTGATCCCTAGAGAATATTGCCCTAAAGTAAGCTAAAAAGAAAAAGAATCTAAAAGTTACTTAAGTGGAAGCCATAGTCATCTTGGATTGCTGTTATGCGCTTTTATCCTCTGTTCTGGGGGCCCAGCTCCATTGTCCCCATTGTGAGGAATGGGCCTGTCCACTATTTCTTTCCTTGACCTTTACAGGTGAGTGGTCGTCAGTTGATTGCTTTCCAGTGAGACCTGTTTCTTTCATTTCCCATGGTATCCTTTGGTCCCCGTTACCATCAGTTTGGTGAAGACAGTTAGAATCTCTCCTGAGCTTTTGCTTTCAGTCTTACAGAATGATGTCAGGGGTGGCTAAAAATTCTGTAGACAAAAACAAATGTCAGGTAATATGTCAAATGATCTCTGCGTGTACACACCCGTAATCTTCATTTTCATCTCCATCCATTGAACCTATACACAGTCATTAGTTTATTTCTCTATTTTAGGTGGTGTTTGATATTCGAATTAAAGCCATAAAGGAATTAAAATTAATGAAGGAACTAGGTAATCATTTCTATTTGCTTTTTGGTTTTTAGCTTAATTTAATTTTGTTTTTTTTTTATTGAAAAATATGGAAGAGTACAAAAAATAAGGAAATCTCTCATACCTACCACCCAAAATGGACAAATGTTAATATTTTTTTCATGTGCTTGTTTTTAATTGAACCATTAAAAGTTTTCTGTGTCCTTCTCAAACTTACCCCTTTCTCCCCAAGACAATGAGATACCTGACTCAAATGTATTCATAATGTACTGTATATTATATACTTAGGTCTACTTTTATGTTTATATAAATTTTATAGTGGGAAGTCTACAGATTCACTGCTCATTCAGAGTTAGATTTTAATGGCTTCACTGAGATACAATGTAGATATCATAAAATCCATTCATCTTGAGTGTGTAATTTAGTGACAGTCAGGAATGTATGGATATAGAAGATCCCAGTCCAGTCTTAGAACATCTCTATCACTCCAGAAACATCCATGGGCTTTCTGTCTCTGTCAGTTCATTTTCTGAACATTTCATATAAATGGAGCCACGTCGTTTGTAGACTTTTGTGTCTGGCTTCTTGCTTAGCACACTAGTCTTTGAAGTCTGTCCATTAGTTAGAACTTTCCAACAGTTTATCCTCTTTTAGTTTTGACTGCCATTTAGTTGTAGGATGTTCATATTTCATTAGCCTTTTGGAATAGTGAGTGATGTTGTACACACTTGGATGTGAATCTTCATGTAGACATGTACTTTCAAGGCTCTTGGTTAGACTTAAAACATTATAATACTGTGAGTCACCTGCAAATTTATGTTTATTTTTATTAGAAACTGCCATACAGTTTCCAAAGTGGCTGAAGTATTTACCATTAGTAAATTAGTTTAGCTAATTTTCAAAACATTAGTAGTGTGTCAGGGTTGCAGTTTCTCCAAGTCCTTGCTAATGTTTGTGATGGTTCCTTCTCATTATCATTTTAGTGAATATAAATGAGTATCTCATTAAATGCAAGAATTCAAAATCAGTATACAGGAATCCATTAAACTTTTGTCTATCAACAGCAAAAAACAAAATGGACATTAAAATGGAGGAAACTGTATTTATTTATCTGGGTTTTGTTTTGTTTTGTTTTGGATAGGGTCTTACTATATAGCTCAAGATGACCTGGAACTAAAAAAATCCTCCTATCTCAGCCTCCCTAAGTATTAGAATTATAAGTGTTTGCCCTGGTGTGCCTAACCAGAAAACAGTAATAATGTCATAAAGTATCAAAGATGTGTTTGGAAAGATATATGCAGAATCTATACCATGAGGACTAGGAAACTAAAGAAAAATGTGAGTAACTGGAATAGTGTGCCACGTTCACAAATCCAAAGACACACTATTGTGAAGAACTTATCTCCCTAGAGTCAGTGTGTTCTCACTCAAAACCATTAGCAGGTTTATTTTTAGAAGATAACACCATTCTAAAATTTGCATGAAAATATAAAGAATTGAAAGTAACCAGGTATGGTTAGTCTCAGCACTTGGGAGACAGAGGCAGGCAGATCTCTGTGAGTGCATGGTCAACCTGGTCTACATATAGCAAGTTCCAAACCAGCCAGGACTTCATAGTGAGACATTGTCTGGAAAACTGCAGCAACAACAAAAACCTTAAAGTAGCCAGGACAGCTTTGAGAAAGTGCTACCGTGTACGGCTTCAAGACTTCCTCTTTGTCCTGCCTGTTGGTATCTGGGAAGAAGCATAGAGCATGTAGAAGTACAACTTTTATGTACAATGGACAAAGAATAGTTTTTGCACCTTTAAGACTTTAAGGCTTTCAAGAAGAAGCCAGTGTACCATAGACAAGTTATGGATCATTTGACTTCTGTATGTGCAGATATGGACTTCATCTTTACCCTCCTTCTTATAAAATATTAACTTAAAATCAATATAGAACTAAATGCTAAAACTAAAAAGAATAAAATTTCTTGGAGAAAATCTTGGTGACTTTACCATATGGAAAGGTTTTTTTTTTTTAAGCATACTCAAACCATGAAAGAATATTTAAAAAAAAAGTAAATTACCCAGAGTAGCCATGACAAGTTCTCTTCAAAGGACATTTGAAAAAGCAAGCTACAAACTAGGAGAAAAACTTATAAAAACACGTGTTTAGACGTGGATAAAGAGTTTACAGAAAGTACTCGTAACCCAGACAGAAGATATCCCAGCCCAAATTAGGAAGGCCTGCCTGTGCGGGAAGAATAGTGTCAGGAGCCACTAGAGGGAAGTCACAGACCTATCCCTAGGTAAACACCCAATCCCAAGAAAACCAATTGTGGAGTTGCTGTGTGCAGGGACTAGGAAGTGCTATATTCTCTTTGGAAAACTTAGATTTGGTTTTTGTTTGGTTTGTTTAAACGTAAATATTTACTTACCAATTATATTCCTAGATATTTACTGGAGAAAGGTAAAACATACAACCTTATAAAAACATAAATGAGTGTGGTGGTGGTGCACACCTTTAATCCCAGCACTGGGAAGGCAGAGGCAGGAGGATCTCTGAGTTCGAGGCCAGCCTGGTCTATAGAGCGAGTTCCAGGACAGCCAGGGCTACACAGAGAAACCCTGTCTCTTAGACCGGATATGTATTACTCTAAGTAAAAATACACCAGTCACGTTTATCAAAGGCATATGGTTTATAAAGAACACTGGTTGATACTGTGCCCAGTAACTGATTTCCTCCTCTCAACACCTGTTTTCCCTCCACACCATGTCTCGGGCAGGCAGCAAGGGATCCTCTCCACTTTCGGAGCTAGATCCTGCCCTCTGTCCACGCTCCTCCTGCTTTTCCACTACCCTAAAGCTGTCTACCTGTGGTCTTGCAGTCAGGGCCTGCCTGTCTATGACCTATTGCCAGCACTCTGCTTATTCACAGCAGACTGCAGATCTCGGCTCCCTGGAGACTCCATGCTCTGTCCTCTGAACTTTCTTGCCTTTGCACCCTATCTTCTAGCTTGAGCTGTTCCTTTGCTCTTAACTCACACATTCTCTGTTGTTCTGACCACGGAGTCTCAGTCTTCTGCTTTACTCATAGCACCTTGGACTCTGCAAACTGCCTTTTGATTTGTGCCATTGCCATTCACCTGCCATTAGATGAGGCTCTGTGAGGGCAGAGGCCATGCTGTCAGGCTTAACCTCTCTACCATAGCTTCTAGCCCAGTGCCCTGGCACAGAAGACACAGAAAAGACTTGTTGAGGGAAAAGGAAAGTTGGTTTTCTTTGTTTATAACTGAGGTAAGAGGTTGTTTTGTTATATTGCCCTGCCTCAACCTTGTACTTCCGGGCTTAAACAACCCTCCTGCAGTAGTAGGCCAAGTAGCTGGCATGTAGTATCATACCCAGCTGGGACTGAAACAAATGATTTTGAAAACACAGTATTTAAAACCTACTTTTTAAATTAGGGAAGTACTTTTATCTACTTCTTTAACAAGAAATGTGTACTTAAAATGTATGCCAGCTTCATAACAGCATGATATATGAGACAGAACTCTGGAGTCTCAGGAAGAAAGTCTATTTCACTCTAATAAAGTTAGATCATTTTAAGCTTGTGTCATTCTTGCCCGTTGAGACATCTTGGCACCCCTTCCTTCCAAGTTCATGCTTGGCTTTGTAAGAATTCATTTTGGACTGAAAACTTAGTGTGCTCCTTCCCTGAGGTCAGGAGTCTGCATCCTCGGCAGCACATGCTGGCCTCATCCATTTGCTAAGTATATTTGAAATGCAGGTGCTCTGCTTTGCACACTTGCAGTTTGCTTGTTCAGACTTCAGTGCGTCTTTGACTAAAGCATGTCCATAGTTACTACTCCTCGGTGCGCAGATGAGACCAGTCACATCCCTTCCTTCAAGCCCAGTGGTGATTGGCTAGTGCATGTCTCATGCATTTCCGCACACAGAAAGCAAAGCCTGTGTAGGTCTGCTGTCTCTTCTCCCAGCTATAAGCCTACCTGACATCACACAAAAATGGATCATGAAAGAAAGCACCCAAAGAAACTGAAATCACAGTATAGAAGCAGCTGCTGTCCACAGGAATGGTGACATAGCTGTCACTCAGGAGGCCCCAGACATGTAGCAGAAGAACTTGCTGAAGGCACACTCAGTGACCTAAGTGAGGATGGCAGTTGTGACAAGAAGTGCAAAAATGGCCAGGGGACGTGATGTTGGAGAAAGACTTCAGACTGGAAGAGCTCTCCGAGATGTCTCCTGACACTAAACACAGAAATAGAGTCCTGGGAGCCAAGCTCAACTCCGAAGTACGAGCACTTGCCAAGGAGCAGGAAAGCTGCTCATGCCTCACCACCAGCTGTCCTGGGAGTGGAAGACAGTCCTTGTCCACATTCTGGACCTATTTCCTTGTTTTTGTTTTGGAGACAAGGTCTCACTGTGTAGCCCTGGCTGTCCTGGAATTCACTATGTGTAGCAGGCTGACTTCAGATTTTTAGCTGTAGTTCCAAATGCTTATAGTAGGGTGTAGACCACCATACCCTGCTTTAGATCAGTGTTCTGCAAGACATAAATATAAATATTCGGCTGTTTCTATTGTTCTAAATGCACATGTATTCATTTCACTTTTTTCTTTTCCTAATATCTGTGTAACCTTAGAATTTGTAATGTTTGGGGGAACATGCTAAAGTCATTGGCTAGTTGTGATTTTTCCCACTGAACCATTTCAGCTGTTTATACAGTTCTGCATGACAGCAGAGTGAAGGATAGCCCCCAGAGCTGGCCTTGAATCCATGGCGCTTCTTCCTCGGCCTCCTGAGTGAGCGCTGAGATTACAGACACAGTATAGAGTCACTGTGTTCATCCGGAGTTTTGCTTTTTGGGGGCTGGGGGCTTGCTTATTGTACTTCCTGTGATTAATGTAGTGAAGTATTGCTTTGGAGCTCTTTGTTTAGTAATTAACCACCTTCTTTTCATTCACAGCTGAGAACAGCTGTTTGAGACCCATTGATAGAAACGGGAAGCTTCTTTGTCCAGGTAAATCTTGGCAGCTTTCAAAGACTAGCAGGTTCTCATTCAGAACATGTGGACAATAAATAATGGCTTCGATATCTCACATTCCTAAGTTACCTTTGGGAAACTGACTTATGGACATATTTCCATCCAGGTATCTTATTTGTTATAGAAAGCCTTACACCATTTCTGTTTTCTTGAGGAAAATTCTTTCTGATGCTGCAGTCCTTGCTGTAGTCATGGTGTCGTCTAAGGATCTTCATAACTTGACTTCTTAGTCTCTGCGTGTTTAGTCCATTGTGACACCAGTTATGAATAGTCTCTGTTTCCTGACACCTCTTGTCATCAGACCTGGTTCAGCCATAGATAATCTAATGACTGATGGTGCTCCCTCTCACAACTTTAAATGTGGGTGAAGCCAGTCCATCGTGCAGACTTTTTAATGCATATAAACAAGTCTTTGGCCAAGTTATGTTAAGTATGAATCATGTTTCTTGACATTGTGGTACAAGATAATGAGACTGCTGTAGGAATGTGGAAACTAAACATAGCCCCTGTACATGTGATACTTTCACATGAAGCACAACTCACCTTTTTCTCCCAATAATCTATTCTTTAGAGTGTGTATAAAAATCTAGTAATGGTGTAGTGGTACTGGCTGGAACTAAGGGCCTTGCCCAGGAAAAGTACAGAATCTCCTGCTAAGCTACAGCCCATCCTTGATCCTCTTAGGTTTTCAAAGAAAATAATGTCATTTTGCTAAGAGAGGTAGGAATTCAAAATAGTCACTTGGTTATCAAATTCCCTCATAGTACCAGATGCTTGGACTTTGGAGGAAGCAGAGGTGAAGATGGGGAGTTCCTTGGGACTTTGTCTGGGAAAAGCACCAACTTCCTCTCAGGTACAGTAAAGCCCAGCAGAAGAGAGTTTTGCTAGAAAGTCTTGATTTTGTTACTGATATATTAAATGCTCCAGGAGTGCTGTTTTTCTGTAAAAAGTTACTTTCAAATTTCCTTAAAATTTTTATGTTCTTAGACTATGTATATATTTTCCTGTTGAAACCAAAAATACTATTCCAAAGGATATTTCTAAGGTTCCTTTTGTGGTTGGGGGGACTGTGTAAGGTTGAGTGGCCACCAGTTTGAACAAGTAGATGTTATAAACACCGACTGGGCTTAAGTGAGTCTTGCAGGGATGTGATAGCCGTATACCGACTTCCCTCAGCCTTGTCCTCTTCAGCAGCCCACAAAGTGGGCCCCTTGCCAGAAACTGCCTGATAAAGAGCTGTCATTGCCATAGCTTCATTCCTGCCTGAATCAGGGCAGCCTGGACTTTGGTCCTGTTCCCCGTGACTCCTGAATCCATCTAATTACTTTCCCAGTCACTGTCCTTCAGTCCGCTTTCCTTGGAATGCTAGCAAGTATCAGGCATGACAAGCTGTGACAAGTGAGGTCGATTCAAATGATGGGGACATTTGTTAGGTGTCCTGTGCTCATGAGTAGCAGTGTATTTCTGCTTTCAGAAAAGTGAATTGTTACTTAAATGATAATGTGAAATTATTCAATATGATCTTTTTGTTGTTGTTTTTTCTTTTTTTTTTCCTTTTATTTTATTTTACAATACCATTCAGTTCTACATATCAGCCACGGATTCCCTTGTTCTCCCCCCTCCTGCCCCCCTCCCCTTCGCCCCAGCCATTCCCACCTCCTCCAGGGCAAAGCCTCCCCCGAGGACTGAGATCAACCTGGTAGACTCAGTCCAGACAGGTCAGGTCCCCTCCTCCCAGACTCAATATGATCTTGGTTTCACAAAATCTGGTGCTTGCTTTGTCTGCCTGACTGCATGTTTTTGCAACATTGGGTTAAACCTCGGGCCTTAAGAATGCTGGGCAAGTACTCTGCTCCCACCACTGAGCTTTGTATTAATGCTCTATGGACATTTAGCTCTGCTTGTTTGGAAATAAACAACAGGCTGTAGGATATTTCAATTCAGGGGAAATTATTTTCACACTTCTGTCTTGCTCATAGCTGTTCCTGTTTTTCGCTCTGGCAAGTGACATTCATCCTGGGGCGGAGATGGAAGTCATAGTAGAAGAGACACTCTCTGTGAGAGATGTAAGTGATGACTTTGGGCTTGGGGGCCATGCTGTGCTCAGCCGGGATCTGGAAGTGATAAGCTGAGGGCTTACACAGTATACTTCCAGGATTTGTTTGTGCTCATTAGAAGGCAATTCAGAAGGCTGGTGAACCAACTAGAACTTTCAAGTAAGATTATTATTGTTCTTTTTACTTTTCTGATTATCAGCAATACTATAGAAATCTGAGCTATGCAGACAGGGTGGCACACCCCTGCATTCCCAGCACTTGGAAGGTGGAAGAGGCATCTTCATCTATATGGGAGTTCCGGGCCAGCCTGAGTGACAGAAAACCCTGTTTCAAAACAGCAAGAAATGAATTTAAAAGAAAAATATTAAAATCCTTCATTGTTTCTTATCCCACTACTATTAACATTTTGATATATTTCCTACTTAATATACATAAAAATATCACACAGCAGGGTTGAATGTTTTTGTATGTTTAAGTGTATTGAGAAAACAAATGAATTATGTTGTTGTCATTAAGAACTGGGATTTTCAGTAAACTAGGAGAGTCTGAATGGACTGCATCTATTTGCTCTTAAAACTTTCATATATATATATATATATATATATATAGTTTGTTTGTTTGTTTGTTTGTTTGTTTGTTTTCATCTCCTGTCACAGTTTACAATCCCTGAGCAACTTGGTAGCAGCAAGCAGCCCCACCATCCAGGACATAGCTGCTAGGCTTAGCTACTTGGTTCTAGGAGGAGGAGCCAGGGCATCCTGTAGTAAGTGCTGGTTCCCTGTCTAGGACAGGAAAGTGTAGGCCAGGCTGCACCGTCTTCACAAAAGACAGTGAAGCTACCGTGGAGACTGAAGTCCACTTATCAAAGTGGGATGATTGAACTTCAGGAAGAAGAACTAAAATCCTATGGAAGGAAGCTTACAAATTTTCAGAAAGGTGTTTGAAGAACAAACAATTAAACATGGTGTGCTATAATCCAGACACTCAGGAGGCTGAAGTGGGACTATTACAAGTCTGAGCAGCCTGAGCTACATAGTGAGGGACAGGCTAGACAGGGTTACACAAGCAAGAACTTGCTGCCTGTGTAGGCACCTGGAGTCCACGTATATGCCCTCATCCACCTGCTTACATAATGCAAACTACAAGAAAAGAACTGGTTACCTGGCCTGCAGTAGATGCTAGGGATCTTTCCTTCTTAAACTATACCTCAAGTCACTGACAGACAATAAGAGGCTGGGTTTTGCTTCTCTTTGCTCTTAAGTAATTTTATTCACACTTTGATCTTCTGGATGAGTTTGGTTTAGGAATGTTTTTCCTGAGGAAGTTGGGTGTTGTTAATTATGCTTTTGTTTTCTTTAATCTTTGGCAAGTGTCTGGTATTTTACGTTGTGCTGTGAGGTCACAACTTCCACTGTTCTTTCTTGTGAGTTTGTATGGGACTTCCTGGGTGTTAGTTCAGGCTGGAGGATTCCTAAGGGATTGTGTATGTGAAACTGGGTCATGTGTACCCTGTTTGTCGTTTTTTAAGAAGTCAGTGAATTAAATGTCTGGTTTGGTCTGTGTTGCTGGTTATTTAACCTTTAGTGGCTGAAATTACAAGTACGTGCCACCCACAGGGCCTCGTATTGTTAACAGAACTCTAAACTCAGCCCTGGTTGCAAGTGACAGGGACTGTTTCTCTGTCTAGATTGGCCTACTTTGCCCCTAGAGGAGAGCTAGCTTGTGAATAATCAAAATTCTGTGTGTCTTTATCCAAGAACAACGAAGTAGATAATCAGACTTTAATTAGTCCTAGGCTTAGAATCCAAGTGTCTCCTCACACTATGTAGATCAGAAGCAGAAAACTAACACTGAGGGTAATTTTTTTTTTTTTTTTTTACAGTGTTTAAAGATAATGCTGGAGAAATCAGGTCAGCAAGGTAAGCTATTTACCCTGATAATATAATCTTATCCACATGCTTTAAAACAGTTATCTGGAAGCTTCTTGATGAATTCTCAAGCTTTCTTCCTTTTGTGGGAGTTATGGAAAAATACTTGACAGAGTGTGAGGAAAAAATAATAGCTTCAATCTTGTGACTACATAACAAATTCTCCTGGTTCTTACTTACATACTAAAAATAATGGCAAATTAGTGCTGAGTAAAGATAACTAACATTGGATCCAGCAAAGTTGTAACAGAAAGAAAGCTAAGGTTTCTACCACCTGGGACTGTTCTGGCAGGTCTTTTACTGAGTTTTTTAAAAATCACAGTAATTCATAATTTAATTACACCCTGTTTATTTCAGTATTTTGTGTTATAAATTAGAAAATATAATGCAAATGAAGAAAATAAGTTGAGGATAATTGAACGTGCTTCCCACCCAGAACCGTGTCAGTAAGCTTAGCGGGCACCATACTGACCTGCTAGAGTGCTCTCCTGTTCTCAAGCCTCCTATAGGCAGAAGTCCTGACTCTGTCTCAGGAGGGAAGTTAATATACTCTCAAGGCAAGGCACTCCTGCTGTGTATGCATATGCACTGTATATGCGGTGTGTGTATGTGCGGTATGTGTATGTGCGGTGTGTGTATATGCAGTGTATATGCAGTGCTTTGTTCATCCTCAGCAGCAGCCCTCTGGCATAAGGATCTCCACCTAGTTCCAGTTTGTGATGAGGAAGCTTTAAATAGGCTTCAAATAGTTAGAAGACATTCCAAGACAGCCAGTGGGGAGCATTTCTCTGCTTTTAGAACCCAGCTTCTTGTCATTGTACAGTACAGTGAAGAGATGCTATTCATTTGTAACTCATTAGTGACTTTTTTTTTTGAGACAGGATTTCTCTGTATAGCCCTGGCTGTCCTAGAACTCACTCTGTAGCCCAGGCTGGCCTCAAACTCACAGAGATCTGCCTGCCTCTGCCTCCTGAGTGCTGGGATTAAAGGCCTGTGCTACTATTGTGAAACTCATTAGCTATTTTTTAAAAAATACTTAGATTAATTTTAAAAAAATATAAGGACCCAGGGTGCTGCCCCATCCCCATAATCCCAGCCTTTGAAAGCAGACACAAGAAGATCAAAAGTTGTGTGGCACAGACCTTTAATCCCAGCACTCAGGAGGTAGAGGCAGGCAGATCTCTGCGAGTCCCAGGCCAGCCTGGTCTACAGAGTGAATTCCAGGACAGCCAGGGATGTGTAGAGAGACCCTGACTCAAAAAACAAACACAAGTTCTAAGCTAGACTGGCAGCATAGCAAAGCCCTGTCTCAAAACAAAACAGTATCTGATGACAGATCTCAGTGGTGGAGTACTTCCCTAGCATGTCCCTTGATTTGATCCCCTCCAGCCTCCTGCCCCCCCCCCATAACCCCTAAAAAAAAATAAGGAAAGGAAGAAGGAAGTAAGTTGACAAATCTTAACTGTGTTTAAACCAGTACTAATAGCTAATCAGGTTCTTACAAGAAAAGGGAACTGTGGAGAGTCAAACTGGGACGTTCTTATTTACCTAGAGGTAAATAAGAAATCATATCCTCTGCCTGTTAGGTGTATTTACTTATCAACATTGCTAGTCTTTTAATAATCAGGGTTTTTAACTTCCCCCATTCAACACTTTTCCCACAGAAAAGAAACAACTTTTTAAAAAGCAAAGTGTCATTTCACCAGTGTAGCTAGTCTCCTGAAAATCAGAACTCTAATCAAACTGCATTTAACATTTGTGAATGCTCACATTCCCTTGATGAGCATGCCTTCAGGAAGTACTGTCTTCCTTAGATTAACTGCTAAGGGGGCGGGGGGTAGTTTCCTGTACACCTTAGAAACTTCCCAGGTATGACAGCAAAATCGAATTCAGCTTCTTGAGGATTTCAGAAGAGGTTCTGTACTTGGCGGGGGCGGGGCGGGCACTGACATGTGATCTGGCATGCATGTATTCGTAAGGCATGAAGGGAACACCGCAGCGTGGCAGCGAGTGCACTCTGCCCAGTGCTCTGTCAGTGTTCTGTGGGCCCGGCTGTGCGGTGTGGGTGGGCCAGGAGCTTGCACTTGGCAGCTCAGTGTTACTCCTGAACATATCCCCAGTAAGTATGAGGCTTTGATTTACAAGTTCCTGCTGGGAGAAAAGCAAACGAGAGCTGAAGGGACAACTTAGTATTTTTCATATTGTAGAGGACATAATTTCAACACAAATGATCCTGTGACTGGATGGGGCCGCACTGGCTGCTTTTTTTCTCTAGAAGCTGCTCCTGCACACTCGTAGAGCTTCTCCTCTAGAGTTCTTCATCTTGCTGCTGGTTCCCTCCTAGGAGAGCGCTGGCACTTGAGGAAGATGGATTGGTGCTATGAAGCCGGGGAGCCTTTGTGTGAAGAAGTAAGATCCTCCTTTCTCCTCATTTTCAGAACACTTGGTTTTCATATCGTGTGTGTGATGGGGAGCTGGGACATGCCGCATGTGCCACAGCAGGCCTTAGAGGCCGAAGGACAGCTGCATGCAGTCACTTCTCTCCTTCCATCTTACCTGGGTTCAAGTTCACCTGGCTTGGGTGGCCGGCTCCCTCACCCACTGAACCATCTTGCTAGCCCACTTTTTCAACAATTGGCTTTTTAAAATGGTTAAGCTTACTTCATATTTTCATACATAATTTCTTCTTCCCTTATAGGAAGCAATTCTAAAGAAAGCTTTTATTCTTTAGAATACAAAAAAAAAAAAATCTGTGTATGTGTCTGTCTATGTTCACTTTTTCCAACTGGTTTTCTGATAAATGACAAGTCTGGGCTAGGTAAAAGCATTTCTGACATGAGTGATGATTCCCTCTGATGAGCAGGCATTCCTGAGGAGTAGTTCACAGAAAGTGAGAACTTCAGAGAGCAAATGCTATGTGGATGTGGGAAAGCCTTTGAAGACACTCAGAAATTCCATCCCCCAAATGCTTTAATTTCAGAATTTCTCTGTAAATAAATACCCCTACCACCAACCACTTGGTCCAGCAGCAGGAAGAATTATGTTTAGTTAGTTGGAATCCAATTAGTCCATTTGTTGGTCTTAAATTGCATTAGACCTCCTCACCCACATTCTTAGCAGGTGGCCAAATGAAGCTCTACCTTAGATAGCTGTGGTCAGCACTGTCCCCTCTTCCCCGCCGGCCTTCCTGCTGTCTTGTGGTCGGCACAGCTCTGTGTGCCTCCTACTGTCTAGGAATCAGCAGTGGTTTACAGTAGAACACTTTCAAACAGGCATACCAGGGCTTCCACTGGGATACCCTTTACCAGTCAGTAAAGTCCACTGAGTCTTGGTGGAATTGGATGACAGAGGAAGAAACAGGCCTCAGAGAATCCTGAAGTCTTAAAACTAGGTAGCCTCTTCACTTTTCTGTTGTTTTTCCAAAGACAGTATTACTACACACCCCAGGCTGGCCTCAAACTTCCATCCTCCTGCCTCTGCCTGCCAAGTTCTGGGCTTATGGGCATCCACCATCATGCCTGGACATTTTCTTCATAATCAGTTCCCAAATCAGTATCAAACAATGTATCTCAAAGCAAATACATTGCCTTCAGAGCAGTGCCCTTCCGAGCTTTACAGTCTCCCCGCCCTAGTCTTCATACTCTGTCTCCCTCTTTCCCTGACTTAGTCCAGGCCTTCAAAGGCGGCTGGCCTTCTGTACTCTCCTTGACCTTTGCACCGACAGACTGTCACTTGAGCCTTTTCCTCTTAACTAAATACTTCAACGGCTTCCCTAGCCACCAGGTGTTCCTCCGCAGCATCATCCACAGTGGCCAAACTGTCCTAGTGGCTGTTTGTACCCACACCTCAGCCAGGGTCCATTCTTGTACTCACTTCCAGCGCTTGCCACCTGGCGCTGTCCACTCCGATCCTTCCCGTCTCTCAGCTCTGAACCGAAATAGGCTGCTCTGCCACTCCTGACTTTGCCTTTGTTCTTTTTTCCACCACAAAATTCCTTCTCTTCTTTCTTCTCATTTTCCAAATCCAGCCTTTTTCCCCAGAATTACTTAGATCTCACACTCCACAAATCATCCTGTCTTCCCTGAGATCTCACGGTCCGCATGGTTTGTACCCACAGTTTAACACATAATGCTGCTATGACTGTGTGGTGTTTTATCTCTTGGTCTTTGGGGTCTGCTGCATTGTCTACTTCTTGAGAGGGTGATAGAAGCATGAGACTTTAAAAGACCCAATGGTCTCTTTGTTCCTTTCAGAAGTCATAAGTGACAACAAGAATTTCTGTGTTCCCAGGATGCAACACTGAAAGAGCTTATGATATGTTCTGGGGATACTTTACTTTTAACTGAAGGAAAACTTCCTCCTCCGGTAAGATATTGTTTCTAAATAGCATTCTTAAGTAATGGTTACTGTTTTCTGATTACTGTGATGATGGGGAAATGAGAAAATATAGCAGTCATAAAAAAAAAAAAAAAACACAGACAACTTTGCCAAAATCTTAACTAGTCAGGCAAATTTCCTCCCTAACTTTTAGATAAAATAGCTATATGTAAAATAAAATTAAAATCATTATCTATTAAAATGTCTATATACAACTAAGTTTAAATTATATGTAAAATCAATTATATAGAGAATTTTATTTCCTCCATTTTTATATTTAACTTATTTTTTAGAGGGAGTCTCACTATATACCTTTGGCTGCCCTGAAGCTAGCTTTGTAGACCAGGCTGGCCTTGAACCCAAGGACACCCACCAGCCTCTGCCTCCTAAGTACTGGGATTAAAGGCATGCGCCACAATACCAGGCTTTATAGTTACTATTTTAACCTTATCAAAAGTCCAGAAATTACCATTACATCCAAACTAGTCATTCACTGCTGCTTAATTTCTTATATTTCCAGTGTTATAAATTCAGCTTGTTTTTAAGTTTTGCTTTTGTATGTATTTTTATTTTGCCTATATGTTTTTCTGTGTGCCATGTGTGTACTTGGTGCCCACAGAGGCCAGAAGAGAGCTCCAGATCCCCTGGAACTGGAGTTAGAGTTGTGAGCTGCTGTGTGGGTCCTGACACTGGTCCTCTGAAAGGGCACTGAGCCATCTTTCCAGATTTTGTAATTTTGTTCTTACAATTAGTACTGAAACTCTCTCTAGGATAGGATTATTAAATCATAGGTATGCATGTTTTTAAAAGACTTTTTTGCTCTGTATTGCCAAATTGTTTTTCTGACACATTCCGAATGACAGTCCTCTCAGAAAATAAAAAGGCCATTTTGCTGCCCCCGCACGCGTTGTGATTTTTGTTTGTTTGTTTGTTTTTACAAGCATTGCACATCACTGCTTTTAAGACCAGTGTTTATTCATTTCTAAGGCAAAAAGATAAAAATAAAAATGTCCAAATTCCAATATCCGGATAAATGACATTCACTTATTAGAACACTCAGACAGCATAGAAAGCTGTTTGTCAAATGATGAAAACGGAAAGCAGGAGTCACAGCCATGTCTTTCCCCTCGTTTCCCATGTGTCCTTCTGAGAAAATGGACAGTAGCCAAGCTTTAGAGTCCGTCCGGTGAGGGAGAAGCAGGAGGATGGTGAGGAAAAGAAAGGAGGGGGAGGGAGTTCAGAATGTGCATCTTCATAAGCTGCGAGGTAATGCTCATGTGCATCCTTTGCACTGTCCACTGAAGGGTCACATCTCTTCATTATTTTAATGTTCTGTCTTTAAATTCACTTAACCATGTCTTGAGGATCACATATCAAATCTGCTCTTTTCTTTTTCATAATTTCATAGACTCTTATTTGACTTTGCACAAACATTAAAGTAAATGTTTGAATAGATCTATGATATAAAATTCCAAATACCTAAAATGTTGGACCAGGAAAAATTGGAATGTCTCCTCTTCCCAGCCCTCACCATCCCAGTACTCCACACAGGCATCCAATTTTTTCTGTAGCCTGCAGAGGTTTACACTTTGGTGTGTGTACACTCAGGTATGTGTCCTGTATGTATACAGTGTACATGTACATGCATGTGCATATTTTCCCATTGCACAAATGATTATATGCTGCATACCATATTTTGTATAGAGTCCATGCTAACTTTGAATTCATGGCAGTCCTGCCCCAGCTTCCCAAGTAGTAAGATTAAAGGCATGAGCCACCTTGCCTGACTTTTACCTAGTTTTTTCATTGTATTTTGTCTCTAAGTATGTGTTGTGTCAGTAGATATGAAGTTTCTCATTCTCTTAGTAACTGCATGGTTGTCCCCTTCGTGAAAGGACTCGTGTTGTGTGTCCTAGGGATGGAAGGGAGGACCTTGCCTGTGCTCGTCTCTCACTCTGCCACTGCACTGCATCCCTAGACCTATGATTTATTTGGCCAGTCTCTTCTCAAAGAACGTTGTAGAAATGTACATAGGAAGGCTGGAGAGATGACTCGGCAATCAGCATGTACTGCTTTTACAGAGGACCCCAGTTTGGTTCCCAGCACAACAGCAGGCAGCTCACAACAGCCTGTAACTCGCTAGCAGTGAAAGTGAAGACTTGAAGACTCAGTCTTAAAACACTCTGTTCTTCAGGGTTTCTTGAAGGTGCCCATCTGGTGGTACCAGCCTGCAAGACTGTCAGGACACTGGGAGAGTCGGGACCACTCCAGCTGTGCCTCTCCTCTGGGTAGCAGCTGGGGATCTGCTCCCAGCCAAGGTAAGAACAGTGCCCTGGGAGTCAGCCCAGTACTTACATAGAGAATGCCAGGGTGAGGGGCTGGAGCAGGACCTCCGCAGTGAAGAGCACTGGCTGCTCTTCCAGAGGACCTGGATTCAGTTCCCAGCACCCACATGGCGGCTCACAACCATCTGTAACTCCTCTCCACGGTATCTGACACCCTCTTCTTGCCTCCTCAGGCACTGCCTGCACATGGTGCACAGACTACTTGCAGGCAAAACACCATACACATAAAGTAAAAGAATAGATATATACATATATATGCATATATATACGTGTGTGTGTGTGTGTGTGTGTGTAAGTATATATGTATGTTGCACGAATCTTAAAAGGTCTTATTAATAAAAACAAACCCTGAGCCAGGTATTGGGGTGAATGCTGAAAGATCAGAGAAACAGAGCAAGCCACATCCAACCTCACCTTGCCAACTTCTCAGCTGAACTTGTTTCCTCAAGCTGGAAGCCTCTGAGTCCTCATCTGAATAGATCTCAGCTGAACTGCTGCTAAAAGCCTAAGAGCTTAAAAAGCCTAAAAAGCCTCTAGTTCCTGGTTCTCATACCTCGCCTTATATACTTTTCTGCTTCCTGCCATCATTTCCTGGGATTAAAGGCATGTGTTTTTTTCCAAGCAGGACATTTGATCCCAAGTCCTGGGATTAAAGGTGTATACCACCTTGCCTGGCTTCTATGTCTGTCTAGTGGCTGTTCTGTTCTCTGATCCCGGATAAGTTTATTAGGCTGCACAATATATTGGGGGACACAATATCACCACATTTCCCCTTTTTTGTCTAAAATAATAAAAAGTTTATGACTAATATAAGCTATATTCAATAAGTATATACAATATATACAGTCAAGAATTGCATTAACAATGTTTAGTCCATTAACATTTGACAGATTCAGACAAATAACTCCATTATATATATTAACAATGTCCACTCCATTAACATTTGACAAAATCAGACAAAAAAATTCATTATTTATCATATTTAAAACAAGTAGTTCCTTTTTAAAAGTAGATTCAATAATCTACCTTTTATCTTATATGTACATATATACATATGTATATATGGCAAGTTGAAAATCAAAAGCTAGTCATTCCTTATAACATCTTCCATACTAACATCCATTTGTGAGAAGTGCTTTGTGAGCTCTGGGAAGCTCTGGGATCTTAGCAGTTGCCCTAGTTTGCTTTCTGTTGTTACGGTAAAACACCTTGACCAAAAGGAACTTGGGAAGGAAAGGCAAATAAGCCTCATAGTTCACATGATTATCCATCATTGAGGGAAGTCAGGATAGGAACTCTAGCAGGAACCTGGAGGTAAGAGCAGAGGTAACTGAAGCAGAGACCATGGAGGAAATCTGCTTACTGACTTGCTTTTCAGGCTCACATTCAGATAACTTCTTGCAGAACTATCTGCCCAGTGGTAGCACTGCCCACAGTGGGCTGGGCTCTCCCACATCAATCAATAAAATGTCCCACATGCTTGCTTGCCTACAGGCAATCTGATGGAGACATTTTTCTCAATTGAGTTTACCTTTTCCCAGATGATGCTAGTTTGTATCCAGTTGACCAAAACATGAACCAGCATGGAGATCTTGAGTATTACTAATGCCTGGTACTTTTCCAAAGACCTTTTATGTGGCAGCACTCAAGGGCCTCAGGGCAACAGTCCCACTTACTGTCATGGGCCTACATAATTGTGGCTTCACCATTCCCATGACTACAAGGGTAAGAGCCAGAGCTGGAGCCCAGGCACATCCTGCATAGTTCCAGACCTTTTGGAGTCTTTACCAAAGCACCTAGGGGCTGCGTCTTGGGTGTCATCCAGCTGACTTGTTTGAAATAGAGGCAGCAGAAACTTGCTGTCGAATTCAGACTGCAGCTCATGCATCATGGTGGACACAGCCCCCAGCAGGAAGGGAGCTGCCTTTGCAGAGTCCCGCTTCACTACAGCAAGTGTGCTTCATGTCTGGAGGCCTGAGTAGAGGGAATGCATGTGTTTTAGCAGGCCCAGCGCTTTAGGGATGTGGTGTGGTTGCTGTATCTTTTACTTAACCTTGAGCTGTTTTGGTGCTTTGAAGAACAAATGGTATTTGTTCTTGTTTTAAACCTTCATAAGGAAATCAATGTAAATAAGTCAAATTCTTCTCTATGTGTCAGCTGTGGCATTTGCAGAGAATTATTCTGATTAGATTATATGAGTTCCTTGTCAATAGTTCTGAAGATATCTAGGTGCTAGAAATCATGATTACATATAGAGAAGGGACAGGTTTAGAAAGCATGTTTAACCTGTTTCTCCTTGAAAGTAAAGAGAAAGATTCACCTTGGGTAGTGCTTCTGTGTCACAGTGGGAACTCTTCATTTAGAATTTTTGAGTGTTTGGGGGACATAAGAACCACTGGTAAGCTGGTAGTAGTAGATGCACTTGTCCTCCCCATTCTCAGAAGGCTGAAGCAGGAAGATTAAGAGTTCAAGGCCAGCCAAACAACTTACCAAAACCCACTTAAGGAAGAGAACTTCATTTAATTATGTAGAATCAACCTGCAATTTCTTCGTATGTATTAGCAGGGTGCTCCACAGTAATCGAGAAATATAATTTTTAAAAAATGAGTGTGGATATCCTGAACTTAAATTTTAGTTATTATTTTCCATGAGAGAACATTTGACATGTTCCCCCATCGTATCGTGTTTGTGTGTGTGTGTGTGTGTGTGTGTGTGTGTGTGTGTGTGTGTGTGTGTGTGTGTGTTCGTATGTGTTCGTTCTTGGGGCATATGTGAAAGTTGTAGATCAACTTTGTGGAGTTGGTTCCTCTTTCTACCTTTACATGGATTTAGGAACTTGAACCCAGGTCACCAGTTTTTCCCAGAAAAGGACCTTTATCTGCTGTGCCACTTCACCAGCCACCATATTTACGTTTTGAGACAGGGGAGCCCTGACTGGCCCAGTCAGTAGATCAGAGTGACCCAGACATCAGTGATCTTCCTATACCTGCCTCCAAATACTGGATCTGTGTGCTTGGCACCCAGGCACTGTCTTTTGGTGGGTTTTATTTGTAAGCAGACATAGATCCTCTTGTTAAGATTTGCTTCTTCCATGAATATTTGTTTACTGGGCCTTCACTGTATAGCATCCAGCACAGCAGACACTGGTGGACAAAAACCATAACTGCCTGCCTCCTCTTGAAAATCTTACTCATAAATATCACACACACAGGAAAATGAAAAGTTCAGGTAAGTGTTCTGAGAAAGAAAGAGAACAGAGTATTTGGCCAACGGTCTTCCATGAGGCAGGAAGGAATGGGGGAAAGCAGCCAGAGGGAGACAGCATTGAGTGTAAGCCGGGCTGCTGCATGGCCATCAGTGAAGTCCTGAGCAGTGTGAAGGGCTCAGGTCAGGGTCAGACGGCACTCTAGTGAGCCTGGTTACAGTCTTGAGAACGTGCAGAGCACTTGAGAAACATGAAGTCAGTAAGGTTAGGTTCTTCCCAAACATGCATCTCTGTCCTTTTGAAGGTGCTCCTGGCCCTGAGCCTGCAGACATTACCCTCCTCTACTTGGGAGATGTGGAGATCTCAGAAGAGGCCACATTGGTGGAACTGAAGTCAAAGGTCAGGCCCCTTCCTGAAGTATTCTTTGGTGTTGATATGGCTTCTTCCAGGGAGATATTAATTAATGTATTCTTCTATTTCCTCTTCCCCCAATTACAGTCTGTCCTGATATGGCATGTGTTATATGCCATGGTCAGGGGTAAGTATCAGCAGGCAGCCCACGCTCAACATAGACACCGTGGTATCTGTTGGTGCCATTGCTCTCGTGGTTTCCACTCACCCAGTCCTCACAGGCATGCTGTGCTTGTGTTTGGATCTGTCCTCGGGGACTTGTGGCCTATGTTCATTTTGACTTTTTAGGAAACATGGCTTCTTGAACCATCTGTAAAACATTCCCTTTAGCTCATCATTGATATTGTTTGTACATTGTGTCCACTTGTTGAATGTCATTAGTTCTGAGCTGTGTGCTATGGGTTTCCCTTGGTCAGCTGAGAGCTGATACGAGGATGCTGACCTGGACGTTGGTTGTCTGATGGGGAGGATGGATGATCCTACAGCACACCGTGATGAGACAGCGGCTGGTGCTGTTAGACTGCCATGAACACTGCTTCTGCTACTGCAGAGAGATACAGTGTCTAGTGTAGCCTACAGTGGGCATCTTTTGTGTCCCCAGGAAATGAAATAACCCTCCTTGAGAAAAGCAATGGCTCCATTCCCTTGAAAACAAGTGGGAAAACCTTTTTATTCCTGGTACTCAGTTGAAAGATTCAAGATGGCCATTTTTAGGCAAAAAACTAATGCACAATGGCTGTTTTCCATGCTTTATCCCCATATGAAAGGCGCTTAAAGTTTCCTGCCTCTGTGGAATTAGATCACGCAGTTTGGGCTTGCCTGTTAGAGCCAAAGTCTTTTAACTATTTCAAAACCAAAAGTTCTGTAACTGAAGAGCAGATGAGTTTGCATACTTGTGTTCATGTAAATGAACAGGCTCTGTGTGTGTAAGTTGCACCCATGTAGAATTAATTCTTAAGTGGCTTTATAAAAACATGACTAGGAAGTTTTTCAATTTGAGTGCAATGACACATGCCTTTAATTCTAGCACTTGGGAAGCAGAGGCAGGTGGATCTCTGTGAGTTCATGGTCAGCCTGATCTATATAGTGAATGCTAGGACAGCCAGGACTACATAGAGAGACCCTGTCTCAAAACAACAAACGGCAACAGCAAAAAATTTCAGCCATGAGTACTACTAGTACATACCTGTAATTACGTAAGAGGCTAGGCAGGAGGATTATCTAAACTGGGTTGCAGAGCAGAAGCCTGTCTCAGATTTTAAAAATTAATATTTTTTAACTTGGATTTAGAAATAGAAAGCTCATTTTTCTGGTCTGTTTCAGCAAAAGGAATATAAAAAGTACCAGGATATACTTCATTTAAGACAGATATTCCTATAATGTTATGGGTTTTTTTTTTTTTTTTGAGGCAGATATGATATATCCCAGGCTGACCTGGAATACAAACATGTAGCCAAGGATGACCTTGAAATCCTAATCCTCCTGTCTCCACCTCCCAAGACTGTGGTTGTGGGCATGTCCTACCACACCAGACTCTTGTGGTCTCTGACACTGAAGTGCCCGTCCCTTGGAGTTATGTAGTGTTTCGTTCAGATGCTTTGGAGTGCTTTTAAAATCAGAGACAAACGTCTGTTTCTTTTTCTAGGCCATGGCCTTGACCTCTGTCTCAAAGCTTGCAGTCCCGTCTGCAGCCCTTCTTAGAGTTTGGACAGTGGAGAGCAAACGGCCCAGCAGGCTCTTGCGTGTCGACTGGCGGCAGCTCAAGTCAGTATCTCAGTGGATTCCTGGCCAATTTCCTGCTGCCACTGTGGGGCTAGGGGCAAGCAGGGTCCAGGAGGGAAGCTGTGCCATGTGGATCTGGAGAGTTTTCTCTCCAGTCCTGCCAAGCCCAGGCAGTCCCCTAGCCCACTTATAAAATAAACATACAGATGCTTATATTATTTAAACTGCTTGGCCATTAGCTCAGGCCTGTCATTGTCTAGCTCTTACTCTTATATTCAGCCCATTTCTATTAATCTATACTTGGCCACATGGCTTGTGGCTTACTGGTACCTTACATCTTTCTTGTCCTGGCGGTGGCTTCAGGCGGTCTCCTCCTTCCCTTCCTGTTCCTTTAATTCTCCTCTCTGTTAGTCCCGCCTATACTTCCTCTCTGGATACTGGCCAATCAGTGTTTTATTTATTAACATATTTGCCATACAGAACATCCCACAGCAGCCATGAGTCAGATTATCCCAGAAAACCCATCCCTAAGAACTTACAGTTAGATAAGCTTCTTGTCCCAAGTTAACTCGGGGTAATATCAGCCTCCATGGTAAGATCAGACATAGCATTATGCCCTAGAGACCATAAGATCATAACTTAAAGGAGTTCAGAGTGACTCAAGAAATAGAGCTCTGGGATATTCAGGGCACACACATGACCAGCTGCTCCACCTCTAGAACCCTAGTGGGAATGTTTGGAGCATTTAATTTTAGTTTCCTTTAGCAAAAGCAGCCCTAACATGTCCTTTCATGTCTGCCCAATTATCAACCAAAAAGCACCCCAGGCAACCTTGGCCAGAGGGGTGTTTGATTGGCATCTGGCCGTCTTCCCAGAACTGAGTCTCCATGTGCAGTGAGGAACGACCCAGTGTCCTCGAAGCAACCACCGCAGTGCAGATGCTCTGCTCTCTGAAAGCCTGGCTCCTCAAGTGCAGCACTCAGACAGCACCCCCTTTGTTCAGGAAAGTGTTAGAATTGGGGCCTGGGCTCAGAGAAAACCTACTGACTTACTCTGGTGCTCTGTTTGAATTCCCAGGGAGTACAGACTGGGCCGGAGAGCAGAGCTCTGCTTAGAGCTTCTTCAAAAAGAGGAGGACTTGGGGTAAGGAGACCCGTTGCACACCTCCCCCAGGGTGGCAGCTTCCCTGAAAATAGAGGGGCCTGATCAGAAGTGTGGTTTTCTCACTGCGTCTGAATAGCCCAACAGCTCCAGCTGTAACTGGGGGTGGCTGAAGCAGGAGTCCCACAAGTTCAATGCCAGCCTAGACTACGTAGCAAGAACCTGCCTCAAAAACTGTAGATTGTGTTCTAGAGATCTGTGTGGCTTTCTTATAGCTCACTTTAGTGTCAATTGCAGCAAGTGTTAGTTTGTCTGTCATCCCCAAGGAGTTACTGAGCTCTTGGCAACCTGAGGCATTAAGGGATGCACGCCCCCAACTCTCCCCAGGGCGTGTGATTTAGAGTGGTTCCCGTCACTCTGCCCCTGCTGACACACGGCATGCTGAGTGATGCATTTGCAGGTGTCTGTCTCCTGGTCTGTTATAGAAGTGCTATGAGAGCAAACTGTTCGTTTTTTCATTGCTCTAGCCCCAAGACCTGCAATAGTATGCGCGATGTAGTAATTATTTATATACTAAAGAAGTACTCCAAATCATCTACACTCAAAGCATTTTGTGCTTTTTGCACATGAGGAAAATGTTTATATAACCTTTATGCATATCAGTGAGTACTGTCTTCCTTCTCCCCATTGCAGTGAGATTGCTCTTATGTCAGCCTGTTCTGAAAAAGTGCCCTTCTATCCAGGCCTGACCTTCCCTCAACCCCAGTCTCTTTCTAAGAGTACGTGTGTGGACAGGGAGTTTAGGACCAATTCATGTGAACACTTTGAGTCTCTTAAATGCTTTCATCTCCTTGAAAGTGAGGTCATGGTGGTTTCTGGTCCCATAAGCAGAGCTCATGACTATTGATTTCTCCCTCGATATTTATCCTTGAATATTTATGCTTTAGATGCCTCCTGAATTGACAAGTGAAAACAGGTCCTCTGTGACTTTTCCAGTACTGTAATTACTACTCAGCCTTTTCCCAACAAACTTATGAACCTGTATTTTATGAGCATGGGTGATGTATTTTTCATGTTTCTCCAGAAGTTTCTTAGCAGACAATCTGATTGGTTTGAACCCTTTATCTAGAGTGACCAGACTCTGACAATGTCTTTCACATTAGTGGTAGCCTTGTGCCACACAGCTGTTTTCCATGTGCCCCTTGTCACGCTGCTGCAGGACCTCTGTCCTGCTGCACACCGGAGGTGGGGAGCCTTGTCCATCATGCCCTGCAGCATCCATCTTTTCTGTGCTTTTGCCTGGTGCCCACTTTGCTCTCCTGCAGCCCGCGGGATGTGCTGCTGAGGACACAGCTACGCATCCCTGGTGAGAGAGCCTACACCCTGGCCATGGACCTGGTATGGGACACCACCCGAGGATGGACTGCTGGCTCCTTGAGGCAGAGAGTGGCTGATTTCTATTCTCTTCCTGTGGAGAAGATTGAAATTGCCAAATATTTTCCTGAAAAGTTTGAGTGGCTTCCAATATCTAGCTGGGTGAGTTGGGCTTTCTCAGAGAAAGCAGAGCTGGTTGACCTGACATTAGAACCAAGTTTCTCACAGCGGCAGAGAGTCCAGAGAAAACTCCAAGTTGAATTTTATTGATATTTGATTTTCCAATAGAATCAGCAAGTTGCCAAAAGGAAAAAGAAGAAAAACCAAGATACTTTGCAAGGGGGACCATATTACTTGAAAGATGGAGACACTATTGGCATTAAGGTGGGTTAAAAGTGAATTTACCATTTTGAAACACAAAGATCAAATATTTTGTAGAGGAACTTAGTAGATAATCTTGTTTTATACAAATTGTTTCAGAGAATGAATGAGAAAGAGAGGAAAGACAGATAATTCATTATGAGGGAGGCAGAGCCTTGAGACCAACCCTGCCAAGGACAATAACAAAAGACTTAGGCCAGCTTGCTTATGGCCCTTGTCCTAGCTTCTCTGCCTGTCCCTCTGATAAAATACCCTGACAAAAGCAACCTACGAGAGAAGGGGCGTGGTGGAGCTCACAGTGCCAGGGTAGAGCCTGTCATGGGGAAGTCCCAGGGACAAGGGCCTGAGAAACCTTGTCACATCACAACCAGAGTCAGGAAGGGTGGTGAGTGCATGCTTGTTGCTCAGTGTCTCCATTTTACAGTCCAGGATCGTGTGTCCAGAGAGCAACTTGTAGTAGGCAGGTCTCCCCTCAATTCAGGCAGCCAGGACATCCCCACAGGCAGGCCTCTCCCAAGTGATTCTAGATTCTGTCAAGTTGACAGGTAATGCGAACCATCACACCCAATAAACATAAAAACCTAACTCTAAATAAAATAGTAGCAAACAGCATGGTGCCTTTACCTGTAATCACAGCACTTGGGAGTTGGAGGCAGGAGGATTATAAGTTTCAGGCCAGTCTGGACTTTAAGTTTATTTTATTCATTTGTGTGTATGTGTAGTTATGCATGCACAGAGGCCAGGAGAGGACGCTGGGTACCCTGCTGCAGCATTTTGCTTTTGCTGAACCTGGAACTAATCTGGTGGCCAGCAAGCCCTGGTGGTCCTCCTGTCTTCACCCCTCTAGTGCAGAGGTGGCCAGCATGAGTAGACATGCCTGACTTTTCCCACATAGTTGCTGGAGATTTGAATTCAGGTTCTCAGACTTGAGACACGCACCTCAGACACACACACGCAAATAAATATAAATACTGACTGAAAAAAAATCTAGTTTTTCAAAACCCAGTTACGTCTGAGTATCTTGTCAGTTTGAATAGTTTACTACAAGCCTGTTGTAAATGTAGGCCAGACTGAAAATTTGGTCTTTATTGTTTTGAAATGTAGAATCTCCTGTTTGATGATGATGATGACTTCAGCACAATCAGAGATGACATTGGGAAGGAAAACCAGAAGCAGCTGGCTTTGGAGAAAAAGAAAAGGTAACTCTGAGGCTTGGCCAGGCCCTACTCAAGGCCACCAGGAATGAAACGTGGCATTCTT